TAAAACATTACTGAATCTACTTAAACTGCCATCTATGTTATATCAATATGTAAAGTGTTTCATAATTATCCTCCAATTTTAGGAAGTAGGATCTTCTACAGTTTATTTTAGGTAAAATCAAATGTAGGAATTATTTTTCCATTCTCTAGTATGAAGAAAGAGTCTCCAGTCTGTCTAGAGCTAGTTTAATTTGTTTAGATAATACTACATGAGCACTAAAACTGATACCTCTGTGTCTTCCCAGAAGAGATAACAGAAATAAATGGGCCAACCGAATCTAACTATGCTGACTGAATTCATTCTGATGGGAATCACAAGGCACCCTGAGTGGCAACTCTCTTTTGCTTGGGTCTTCCTTGGCATCTACACTATCACAGTGACTGGAAACATGGGCCTGATCATCTTGACCAGAGTGGACTCCCGACTACACACACCTATGTATTTTTTTATCAGACACCTGGCCTTCATCGATCTTGGTAATTCTACTGTTATTTATCCCAAGATGCTAGTAAATTTTGTTGTGGATCAAAATACTATATCCTATTATGAATGTGTCACACAGATGGCTTTTTACATTCTGTTAATTATCAGTGAGCTCTTCATCCTGGCAGCCATGGCCTATGACCGCTATGTGGCCATCTGTAACCCTCTGCACTACAATGTCATCATGTCCCAGAGATTTTGTCATGTACTGGTGGGCATCCCATATCTCTACAGTGCTTTTCAGTCTCTAATGCTCACCAGTAAGATTTTTACGTCGACCTTCTGTGGTACTAATGTCATCAGTCATTTCTATTGTGATGATGTTCCCTTGATACCTTTGCTCTGCTCAAACACACAGGAAATTGAATTATTGATTGTAATATTTTCAGCATTTAACTTAATTTCCTCCCTCCTGATACTCCTGGTATCCTACATGCTGATTCTGAATACCATATTTCGAATGAATTCTGCTGAGGGCAGGAAGAAAGCTTTTTCCACCTGTGGCTCTCATCTGACAGTGGTGGTTGTGTTCTATGGGACTCTACTATTCATGTATGTGTGGCCTAAATCTGCTCATTCCTTTGATACTGATAAAATGGCCTCTGTGTTTTACACTTTAGTCATCCCCATGCTGAACCCCTTCATTTACAGTTTAAGGAACAAAGAAGTAAAAAATGCTTTCAAAAGGGTCATCAAGAATCGAGGCAAACTTTGTTTCTAATGTACTCAATATAGAATATTATTTTAATAAATTGTGAAAAAGGCAAATGCTTCTTCATAATATTTCTGGTTTATACAATTCCATTTTCTTTGGTTCCACAGTAAAGATTAATTATAAAGTACAGATAGATTATATCCGTTGTATTTATTCAAATGATCATGTTTAAGATTCCAAATAAAAAGTCATTCTCCTCCCAAGATTAATTATGGATTATAACTGATAGAGAACATCATAGCAAAAAAAAAAAAAAAAAAAAACTATTATAAGAATCAGAAGAAAATAGTCACTTAATTTCTAATTTATATTTTCAATTAATTTGGATAATGTTACTAAAGAAAGGAGAACGTCATATGAACAAGACAAATAAGTCTGGAACATTTTTTTGTTTTCTCCTTAACACTACATATACAAAGAGCATTATGTTTAAATTTGTACCATTCATTTATATACCAATCCAAACCCACTGCCCTTCAGTCACTTCTGACTCATAGCAACCCCCTCAGGGTTTCGTAGCTATAAATCTTTAAGGAAGTAGATTGCCTCATCTTCCTCCCATAAAGCAACTGGTGGGCTTGAAAGGCTGACCTGATTAGCAGCCAAATGCCTTACCCATTAGGCCACCGGAGCTCCTTCCATTCATTAAAAGAGAATGTTTAAAAGATGTTAAGTTCTCATGAATTGAGATACATTCCACAGAAATAATACACATTTCTACCATTATTTTATGCTTGTTGTTTTTGTTAGTTGCTATTGAGTTGCTTCTAACTCAGGGAACCTTATATATAACAGAATGATACATTCCTTGTGACAGTTCCATTTTCGTGCTTGCTGTTACGGGTTAGTCCATTGTATCATCTTAGCCACTACAAATTTTTATGCTCAGTACAAATCTTTAGGGCCAAATATTTATTTTATTTCAACTTCTTATTGCTTTCAAACAAATAAACATTTTCTTATAATTAATATTTTCTTTTCATTTAGACAAACAAGCCAAAGGTGTAATTAGAAGAGAAAATTCTCAACCCAGTGCTATTCTTCACAAAAAGCGAAGAAAAACAATTTTTACTTTCTGCTTTGCCTTGGAATAGAGAGAATTATAAGAAAAACTTGTGAACTGTAAATATGATGGCTGGTAAACATGCATGTAGATAAATTTTACCATAATGCTGACAGCCTTTCTTACCTCATTTGTTAATTCTGGCCTAGTACCCACAGGCAATTGTTCTAAAAATCTAGAGAAGTGAAAGCTTTATTACATATAAAGTGCATTTTCCTTCATTTCTTTAGGAATCAACTAGTGTCTGAGGGAGCTAAAAAACATACACAATACTGAATAATGAACTAAAATGGGAACATCATCAGAGATTGAGAAAGATAACATTTTGATACAAATTGAAACAGCTTGAGGTACCAGAATGACAAGGTTGAAAACGCTACTGTAGGAAAATAGAGATAAGCATAAAATTATCTATCTGTAATCTTATCACCATTTTTATTAATTAAAGTACAGATTTTGTGATTTTTTAATTTGGAGTGTTAATGAGTATCATAATACCACTGTACATGTGTCACGCATATAATATATAGAACTAGCATATAAATTAGAGGAATCCAGAATGAAATTCGACAAATATATTTTTATGGAATTGACCAATATATTAACAAACTATTAAATTAGCCTAAAAGGAAAATATGAGCTCAAGATAATTTTTTGAGGAGTCCTTGCCTTCTACTGATAAAGAATTGAACAGCAGAGGCAAAATGTCCACACGAGCCAAAGTTTGTTAAAGAGAAGAGGCAGAGCTTGTGAGGAAGAGACAAAGAGGGCTTTCACCTACACTAGCTTTCAATGTCTCACCAAACAAAAGGTTTTCTAGGGTCTATAAAGAGTTTTAGACGAGGAAAAAGGCATCAAGTTTATTCATAAAAAGATAAGTGTCTACAGGGGAAAAGTTTGTTCTTATGTGTCGTGAAGTCCAAGTCTTTGGGTTTCCGAGGCAGAGTATCACTATGGAAGTAGATTGCCCAACCTTCCTTCCCAGGAGTGGCTGCTGAGTTTGAACAGCCAGACTTCTGACTAGCAATTAAGTGCCTTAGGTACTATGCTGCCAGAGGTACATTTATAAAACTCAGGAGCACAAGCAGGGAGTAGTCAAGATGGATTTCATCACAAAGGCTGTTGGAACAAAGATGGAACTCATCACAAAGGCTCCTGGAATGCTTAACATGGCTTATTCTGGCATATTGCTCATGTAAGCTATCTCTGAACCCTGAGTCTAGTCTCCTGCTCTTGACTGCCTCTGGCGGAAAGGTCACTTTGTTGGTCAAGTTGAATTTTACTGGGCATGCTCTTCACCTGGTGAGGTACTTGAAGGACAACTCAGGAGGTTTATCAGCATTTTCAACTGCAAGCTTGTAGGGCTTTTGAAATGTAGCTCATTTTGCCTGAGGGCCTGGCTTGTTGATCACAAGCAGTTCTGTGTCCAGGCAGCAAGAATGCTGAGTCACAGGTTGCTTGCTTCAGCCAGTCCTATTCTCTACCTGTCTCATTACTTTCTGGAGCGGAACCTGATGGACCATCCAAGACACTGGGTCAAATCTAAGACATAGTTTATGGAATAATAAGAAACTAATAGAGGACAAATTTCTGCTATCATACATCTAATATTTTAGAGGGTATTGAATATTGTGATTGTATATTAACGAATCCTATATTTTGATAGGCTGGTGGTACAAACCCACCAGCCACTCCTCAGAAGGAAGGTTGGGCAATCTACTTCCATAGTGATACTGTCTCAGAAACCCAAGGAGGAGTCCCTATGAGTCGGGTCTGACTCAATGGCAGTGAGTCTGGTTTTTTTTTTTTTTTTTGTATATATTGATGTATTCCTAGAATGTGAAATATTTTATAACCAAGAATCAACTTGTTTTTTTGAAACTTTCTTCCCAGCTATGTGGATGTGACAGATTAAATTGTGTTCCCCCCAAAATATGTCATAAATGTTAACCCCTATACCGATACAATTGGATATAGTATTTTCTTTGTTATATTAATGAGATTGTATCAATATACAGTGTGTTTTAAAGCTCATCATTTTTGAGATGTCAGAGGAGCAGATTGGGCAAAGAAGCAAGCAAGCTGAAATTCTTAGTAATCAAATTCATGTTCTACTAGTTGTTTTATGTCTGAATACTTTTGTATACTACATTTTTTTTTGGGGGGGTAGGAATTTTCTAGTTGTGTCTGTGAGTAAGTCTGATCCTAAAAAAACGAAACCAAGCCATTTGCCACTGAGTCAACTGTAATTCATGGCAACCCCATATTTGTCAGATTAGAAGTGAGCTCCAAAGGGTTAACAGTGGCTGATTTTTCTGAAGGAAATTACAGCAACTTTCTACTGAGCCACCTCTAAGTGGATTTGAACTAGCAACGCACTTGTTATTAGCCTAGTACTTCACAATTTGCACCACCTGATGTTCCTGCAGCTAAGTTCTGGTACTAGTAAAATAACAGAAGGCAATATAAACCTGAGAACATTTTGACTAGACATGCTTATAACTTGATCTTATTTATCTTATTTAAGATAGGGGAGTTCTGGTGGCACAGTGCCTAAGGCACTTGACTGCTTACTAGGAGGCTGATGATTACAACCCACCAGCCACTCCTCAGAGGGAAGGTTGAGTAATCTCCTTCTGTAATGATATCGCCTCAGAAACCCAAGGAGGGGTCGCTGTGAGTCAGGTTCGACTTGACAACACATAACAACAACATTTAAGATAGAAACATTAAACTCTTAAACAGATAGCAGCCTTTGGTGCTGGTGCATGGTATAAGTCCTTCAAAACTGTTGTGGATGACAAGTAAAGCTTACTTTACAAAGTGAAAGTACTTCTTGTGGGAGAATGAAAGGGAATTAATTAATTCCCAATTAGAGTGGAAAAAAGAAGCAAGAGCAGTGGAGATACAATATAATTTTAATGTGGTATGTAATCATCTTTATGTTCTCATAAATGTATAATACATTTACAAACTTCAAGATATAATTTGACTAGCCACTAATTTTTATTGAAATATTAAATGACTTCATTAAAGTAGGTTGGCCAACTAAGTACATTCATTTGGAGACTAAAAATGTTATATAAATTATTGGAAGTCAGAGTATTTTTTTCAGCTCACTTTATTATTTCCTTTTATACCTAATCTCACTTTTTTTGTTGTTCTTGAGATTACTATGAATGAAGGGATGCCAGTGAAAACAGCAAAGTCTAAGGCTATAAGGACCTGTGTCTCCAGAGCAACACTAAAAAAAATAGGAAAAAAGAGTGACGATCAATCTTGACCGAATTCTGGAAAATAACGCAAGGCTTATTGAAACCAGAGGAGGCTGAGTCTAAAGGTAGCTAAGCAAAGCAGACTTTGTGGTATTTTATTTTGCCTTATGACATCCTCCTCTTTGGTGCAGTGGTGGGTGGCCTTAAGGAAAACAGACCACCAGTGTTGTGGGTACTCAGTTCCAGATGAAGAAGAAAAGGTCCTTTTCACAAGGAACTGTATATTCTTTTGGATTTATCCATGGGTTCCCTAAGCATTGAGGCAAGGTCTTTGAATGTTTTCCCCCTAGCTGGCTCCTCTCTCAAGGCATTGTTGTTGTTGTTGTTGTTTGCCATCGAGTCAAACCCGACTCATAGCGACCCCTCCTTGGGTTTCTGAGGCAGTATCACTACGGAAGTAGGATTGCCCAACCTTCCTTCCGAGGAGTGGCTGGTGGGTTTGCCGTCTGGTTAGCAGGCAAGTGTCTTAGCCACTATGCTACCAGGGCTCCTTGATTACATCCCTCCTGAATTTAGAAACCATTTGAAGAATAGATTTGATGCACTGATACCAATGACCAAAAACCAGAGGAATTGTAAGTTGACATCAAGAACATCGTCTATGAAGAAAGCAAAAAGTCATTTAAAAAAGGACAGAAAAAGCATTTGATAAAATACAACAGCCATTC